TCGCGCCGATCGATGAACCGCTTGACTGCCAAGGCCCACCAACCGCCTGCCCCACACCGCTTCTGGGCCGGCAGACACTCCGGAGTTGTTCACAACAAGCCTGACAGGGTTCCCAATTCCGTGGTATGTCTTGTGGCATAGATTTGTCGTCCAGCCTGCTTGACTGCGCGAAGCTACGCAACGTACCAGAAAGAACCAACGCCCTCAGGCTCCTCGAGGCACAAGATGACTGTGATTATGGCGATGACGATGCTTGCTTCTTTTCGTGGTGCACTAGTCGCTCTCGTGGGGGCTGCGGCAGCCTTGGCGTACTCGTTGATGCGACGCCGCCGCCGCGAGGCGAGCAAGGCCCGAAGCCAGGCGTGGAAGGACCCCAAGAAGCAGTGCGAGGCCATCTACCACCACTTGAGCTGCTCCGAATTCCCCTGGGAGTGCTTCTATGCCATCAACTTCGCCTTCTACCGCACCTTCGCCTCGCCCACCATCTCGCGCCTCTACTGCTCGACCGGTACGTCACACAGCAACAGCAACAGCAGCACAAGGCTGTAGTGTGCGGTGTGTCGCTGACTCTAGCCCACTTCTCGTGTGCTCGGTACCCAGGCAACATCGCCAAGGCCGCCGGCAAGCGGGTAGCTGACACCGACATCTTGATGCACGCTTGGATCGGTACAAACTGGGCCACAAGACGTTGTGGAGGTGTATGCGATGCGTGGGCTGAGCGTGTTGTGTGGCGACCCAATGCAGATTTCGGAATAGACAGCAGGAAGGGCCAAGAGTCGTGGGAGCACCTCAACCGAATTCACGCTGTGTGGAAGAGGCGAACCAGCAATCAGGACTTTGTCTACGTGCTCTGCTGTTTCATCGTGGACACCATTCGCTTCATCGATGTGTTCGGCTGGCGCAAGCTTACCTCACTGGAGCGTGAAGGCACTCCCGCCCTCTTGATGTTGGGCGGCCTCGTGTGTGTGTGTGTTGTGTGTGTGTGTGTGTGTTTATGTGTGTTTGTGTGTGTGTGTGTCTGTGTGTGTGTGGTACGTGTCGTGTGTGTGCTGATTGCACGCATGTCCTGTAGCACTGTATCATTTCTGGGCCAAGCTCGGCCGGAGGATGGAGATAGAGGACATCCCCGGCTCGCTCGAGGCAGCGTACCGAGTGGTCGATGGCTACATCGCGTCCAACATCACATCAGCCGAAACCAAAGACGGACGGGACCTCACCAACTCCATCACCGACCTGCTGTGCCAGTACGACCACAGACCTGCACTCACTGAGCTTGGCCGACACCACCGTGACACGGCCCAGGTTGACTCAATTGCCCACTTCCGCCCTTCAGGTGGTATTGGTTCGTGCCTAGAGGGCTCGTCTACAGCGGCGCGAGCGCGCTCCTGTCGATCATCGGCGGACCCACCTTCGTGCGGAAGGTGGGCCTAGGCGTATCGTCCGCGGTCATGACCCACGCGCTGCTCCTTCTGGGCCGCCTTCGCGCCGCAGCCTTGTCCTGCCTGCCTATGCGCACAGAGTACCCTCCCCCTTGCCTGACCCCCTCTTCTTCTTCTTCGCTCCTCGAGCAGCTCACACCCGGTACCAGGCCGCGCCTTCTTTCGGAGATCCTGATGCAGGCGCACTACCCCATGGCCGCAGCCGCTGCCGGCGGCGCGCCCACAAGTCGGCCACGCAGCGGCAAGCTGTTGGACTTCTCGCTGGTTGGACCGGTCGGCTTGCTTCCCG